CTATCTTCTTGTCGTAGTGTGCGTTCCCCGCTGTCTTCTTCACTACTTCCGGATCCACTATCTACACGTGATGCAAAAAACCACTACTGTTACTGTCACTATCACCACCAGTAACCCCATTCCTCGGCTAACTACTCCTCACACCAAAGTCTTTAGTGCAAGTTCGACCAACAAGCGCACTTCCGTGCATGCGATCAAACCGGGCATCCTAGCAAACATGTAAGCAAAACAAGTCGGGTTGTGCAAATTTCACAATCAGCATTGTGACACCGATTATGCATTTTCAAGCAATCGATGAAGCAACTGATTATTGACATTGCGGGCCCAATTTAGGCCTCTACCGTGTCAATTGACGGCCTACTCCGCGATTACTTGACGCTCACACAGGCGTCAGCATAACAACGGAAATCGGTTTGCCATGTTACACCTACGTTCATTTTATCAACTCACACCTTCGTGTGCTTCCATATCATGTCAATTGACAGCTGACATGGCTTGGAATGCAACACGACACCCTACCAGGATATCTTAACACTTCTAACTCAATGCACAAAGCGTGGGTCTCTGACAAACTTCACAATCACCAACTCTGAACCGGCTCACCTGTGGAACATTCATTTTGGCAAACATTTCTACTGCGAATTGCTGCAGTCCGCCAATGTTGATGGCACCCTCTTCTGACGCCGTCAGATTGCATCCGCCAGCACACAGATCACTGGTCGGACACACCATTCCGCAGGTCAACCCATTCGGATTGTCCGACAGAATGACCTTCGCAGACCCGTAGTAATTCTTCTTGCCGATGCTCCCGATGAACGACTTGATGTCCACCTGCGTTGGACAGCTGTGCTGACAAGGCGCGTCTGCACACTTCAGACAACGCGATGCCTCCCTCAGAGCACCACGTTCCGACAGCGTGGTTGTCTTCACGTCGGAGAAGTCGAGGTGGAGAGGAGGGATGGCAGACTCGTCCTTGTCTGCATTCCGCTTCCACAGCTTCTTTTCCTGCAAAAATCAACCAAGGCATCTTCATACCATCTTGGCTCTAAGCTGTGAAACCGATGCTAATGTCTCGTTCCCTGTGTGGTGTGTGTGCGTGTTTGCATTGTCCACATGTCCACGTTGGGCCCTTTACGATTGGTGCATGCAAGGACACACCCACACCACACATCTACTCACTTAATCTTGTGTGTGTGTTTTTCTGCCCATACTATAGGCTATATTGCTCTCCCTTTTATACTTTGTGCTCGACTCGCTCACACAACAGTACCTTTCGTGTCTCTGCGGTAGGTTTCACCGTCGCGGCGTTGAGAACCCTCGGCTGCAATTGCAACACGGCGTCGGTCTCCACCGAATGTCTGCTAACCTCTTTGTGATTCACAGAGGAGAACGACTTTCCCCCACTTCCCGACGAACTGCCACATCCTCCGCAACGACTGCCACAAGCCAACCACCTACGATGTGCGCGCGCACACACAAACTGCTGTCTCACAACCGACGAACCTTGACGGAACATTTTGTCATAATGAAATGATACCCTGTGGACTTCACGCCGTCATAATCGCGTCAGCCAATGACACGCAGCCTAGACCTCATTCGCTTTCTCTCACCAGCCAATCACGATGGCCCTCAAAATCACCACCGATTTATTGCCTTGTGTCTGTAATCCAGTCCCGTGTCGGATTTGCGAGGTGTTTCAGGTGACCCCCGTCTATCACACCACCACACACACCGCATCCCTAAACAAAAAGGCACTAACACAGCTACATCCCATTGAATGCTACCAACAGACAATATCCTATGGTCTAAATCAGACATCAAGTACATGCATGTGACTGAATAAAAATAGAGAACGGTTTCTTTCTTCGGAAAAAACCACATTAGCAGACGCGTACTTGTCAAGCTAGATGTGCTGGTGGTCACACAGGTAAAGGCAACACGGAATATGCTTCAACCCAATGAACCCATTCACCCCACGAACAAGCCAACTTGTTCATGAAATAATGTTCTTAGGATAAGTGCAAAACAATATACAGAATTAATGGACAAATCATATCTGGCTGGTCTCTACACCGAATGGCCTGTCACGGTCATCAGCTCACTCAGAATGTCTGTCCAGGCAAGGTCGTCAGGACTGGAGATAATTCCTCTCTTCGACATTGTCGTCGTCGCCGTCGGTGAGTCACACGCCGTCAAACACTGTCTGTAGGGAGCAACCAAACGACTCGTCACACGTCCTATCGCCTGTTCCACTACAGTTTAGTCAAAACAAACAAATAAACCAGCATAAATAATTAGGCCAATGGAGAGGCACAATCACACAGCCTACGATGGGGAGAACCAGTGCTTCCACGCATGTCGCGCTTCGTGTCTCGCCAGTTCCAAACTCATTCACCAACTCCCACAATCATTCAACCGCGCTAACACATGACTCACGACTGTCGTCTAACGCCCAGTCACGACCGCACTGCCACTCATACCCATCTACCCTCACACATTCGACGCTCTCTAGCAGTTCGCTTACATCGCTGTCATTTCACGTGCTGTGGGCCCCAGCATGTCGTCTTGATCCACGCCGGCGCCACTGAATCAACTTTGGCCCCATTACGCTTCCCTAAAACCCGTGATGAAGAAGACCGGAGATGACGTGGGCAAGACCGTTTACACCAGAGTTCAAACACGTTTGTGTCGTGAATGACATTTGCGCGTGTGTAATTAAACCTCAGATCCGTGAGTTCAACATGAGCTAACACCGAGACCTAGGTGTGAGGATAATCCGAGAATGAGTTGCGAGATTACGAACAGCACGGTTAGTGGTATGCTGTGAAAAGGGGAACCCTGTGTCAGAGGGTGGTGCGACAGGGTTAAGGAGTGTGAATAAACACGATTCACGTCACAACCCTACGCCAAATAACAACCACCGCACCACCAACAGCTGCTCACTTGCGTGCATTCAAGTTCCAACTTTCGCAATCAACTGCATGCATACGCACACACACACACACTCACCAACGTCGGTTGAAACGCCACTTCTCACCAGCCGCCGCGTCAATTCACGCGCAACATCTTTAAACGTCTCCTAGGGAAATAGTACAAATGGCATTGACAAATTCATAAAACACGCGAACAGTTGCGCCCCAACGCGCTCACTGAGTGCCTTGAAATGTGATGGTGCAAGTCGACAAAGGCCGTTCCAATTAACAAATTTACTGACTTGCCTTTGTTCACAGCAGCCCACTAATGCCCTATGAAAGCACTCTGACTTCAACGACAGACGCATTTGATCAAACAAAAGAGCATACAACGCCTTCTACCCACTTCAATCGCCAGCCACCTCATTCAATATTCCACAGCACACATTCCAGGCTGCCTGAATAAGGCTCCTGAAACCAATTGGGGAGTTTAATGATTGCTGAGGCAGTGTTTGGGAAAGGCAGCAGTCCCCACGACGGCTAACCACCGGTTAGAATTCCGTCATTACTCACACGTGTCCCCCAGCCACGCCATTTACGTGAGTTAGACTTCCATCTGTTTAATACCCCCTCCCTCCCACCACCATTCACGTCAAGATCATTCGTGTCTCAAATGGACGGACGCGTTCCAGCATTACACTCGGACTAGGGCAGGGACATTAGAAGCTCTCTGCTCGAGGTCCTGTCTTTGTCCTCCATTGGAGTGGTGTGATCTAGCGTTAGGCAGGGCTTCGGGTACTGGTTAACCCAGCGTGCGTCTCTGCTTACGGACAAAACGTAACAGGCAAGTTATCAGGATTCAATTGAATCTGATTCTCTAGCAATCCCACTTTACGACACACCGGAACTCATAAAGCCACACCTACGTGCCTTCTCCCAAATCCCTAATTCCATTTACTTTTGATTGCCTCACACCATAAACGTTGTCCCAACCCACACTTCACACCTGGTGTGAATATTTAGCACAAGGGTGGAACAGTCAGTTGGGATTTTATAAGTTTACACGCAAATCCCTCCACACCCCGTGGTGATTCACCACACCACCTCCACATGAGTAACCACACCGCGTGCTCCTTACTCTGTCCTTAAATGCGCCAGTCGAGTAGTATGGGGAGAGCGAACGGACTACGAAGTCCGCGATGTGCTTGGTCTTCTTGTGAGTCTCGTTGGACTAGGAAAGAGAAGAATTGGCTTTGAAAGACCATGGGGGAAATTCACTGCGCTCTGATTGTGCTGACTGAAAAGTGACTCACGTGTTCCTTCTTCCTCCTCTCCCGGTGGAATCCACCGCTATCGAAAAGCGATCGCGCGTTTGCAATTTTAAAATCGTTTTATGCGGTTGGACGCCTCTTAAATATAGTTTTTGAAGTACAAATTAAGTGTCTGGTTTTGTAACATGGAAACCAATAATTATATCATTAAACAGATTTTTCATCCATTTGTATATTTTCACGTTTTCTAAATTTTTCTCAATAAATGGGTAGATTTTTTAAAATTAAGTTTGAAGCTTCTTGGTGGATGGGTCATTTTCAATCTGTTGCAACTGCCAGTAGCGGAGGAGAAACGTTTATTTGCTAAACCATTCAGAAAAAATGCTCCTAAGTCTGTGACGTTTAATGCGACAGATGTTAAAGAATAAAATTTTATGACACTATAAATATACATGTTTAAGTCATATTCCTTGATGCGGATTAAAATTGAACGTGCTAATAGTAACATAAGAAAGAAACGTTTACGATCAAAGTAAAAAGGCTTCATAGCATGACATAGTGAAAATAGTTTTGTGACGAAAAAGGAATTTTACTGGAAGTAAAGCGAAATGGTTGGTTATTAGAGCCACCACTTAAATGAATTGCTTACAATCGTAATTTAATCAAATTACACTAATCTTAGATTTTTACCTAGTTCAAACGGCATTATCGTTACACTTAACACGCTAAAGCGGACCCCAGTAAGAACACACGCGTCATGGTTTCCTAAAACATCAAATTAGCATGAATAATCTTATGCAAATTTTTAAATAAAAACAATCAGGGAATTTAATTGGCAGAATTCACTTCGGCAGTTATGGTAGAATCAGGGTAATGCAATTTTGTAAGCTTCCTTAGGAACCATTGCCTCGCCTTGAATGTTAGCTTCTACTGGGGATGTATTTTTCGTTTGCTTCCATAAATGCTGTTCTAAAAGTCTCCTAATATTGATGGCAACAGTTTTTTTTCAGGTATAAAATTTCTGGCTGACTTTTCGCTATTATTTGGCTATAATTATAAGCAAGATATTCTGGTTTGATCCATCCATCCATTTAATGAAATACGACCGAGATTTCAGTATGAAACATAAATTTGATCTATATTTAAAATACCTAAAAATATAATAAACCAAAATTCTAAAGATCAGGTACGGAAAAGTTGACTATTTTGTACATCACAATTGTCTTAAAGATTTTTATTCACAATAATGGTTTCTTAAAAAATGTGGACAATCTTTTGCTGTACATCCAATGATGATGTATGCAGTAAATTAACTTTTTAAAATGTTGGGTCTGGTAAAAGTAGAAGGTACAAAATATATCTCATTTCCGAGCTACTGAAATGAGATATGTTTCTTTGGCTTACAAATGAACTCTTCTTCCTGAAGTGAAACTTTGATATTGATTCTGACTTTAAACGTCACATTATTTTAAAACATTTTAATAATTGCTAACATTATATTGACCAAAAGAAGCTGCATAAAATTATGAACTAAAATGAAGTAATGAAGACAGTAGTCAAGTGCAAAAATGTGTTGTAGGTGAGCGTTGTAGACGAGAAAATTTTTGTCGTACATGTATTGGATGAATTATCCCACAGTGGACATTGCCCACTTAAAAAACTAATATTAAGGAGGCCTGATGTGCCTATGCTATTTATTATGTTTGTCTAAGGCATAGTAGGTAATACTTATAAGTACGGCGAGAATATGTCTAGGGTAACTGCATATTTTAGATGCAAAAATAGCATGGTACCACTAATTAAACGGCTAAAAAGCAAGAAACATCCATGTAAAATATTATTCCTGTCACAGACAACATTTTAGTAGTTGTTTTTTGTTGACTTTTCACTGTTTTGTTCATGAATGTATTGACATAGTCCGCGTGAATTAAAGTATTCGGACTTGATGTATATTGCGCGGTGATTGGACTGCTAGGTTTTTCGTTATGGACAAAAGTGACAACGTTCTCAATGTTTTGCGTGACGTCTTTCATTTTCAGGATTTTAAAAGTAAATTGCAGGAAAGTGCTATTCGTTGTGTTGCTGAAGGTTCCCACAATGTTTTCATTTCAATGCCCACCGGTTCTGGTAAAAGCTTGTGCTATCAGTTACCAGCCGTACTAAAGGATGGTGTGTCCATTATTATTTCTCCTCTGCTTGCGCTAATCTGTGACCAACTTTCGCATTTGTCGAAACTAAAAATTCCGGCAGCAACTCTGAACTCAAAACAGTCTCTCCAAGAACGAAGCGATGTCATGAAAAGGTTATTGCGTCCACCTGGCTCTATTGAAAACTTTGCTCTTCCCAGGATCAAACTGCTTTACGTTACGCCTGAGCAATGTGAGACAACCGGGTTCCGCTCGTTGGCCAAAAATCTAACAGAATCTGGATCCGTGAAATATTTTTTTGTCGATGAGGCTCACTGCGTCTCCGAATGGGGTCATGACTTTCGGCCTGCCTACTTAAGGCTCGGAAAGTTGCGGTCTACGTTATTTCCGATGGTGCCATGCATCGCTCTTACTGCAACAGCTAATTCACGTGTAAAGACCGATATAATTTCGACATTGCAACTAGACCCACGCACGGCGTGTGAGGAGGGTGGCTTGGAGATAACAAATTTCAAGGAATTCGTCACAGGAGTTTTTCGTCCCAATTTATACTACGATGTGATATTTTCTGACTTATTAAAGACCCCGTATGATGACTTGTCGTCATTTATTGGCAAATGCCTCTGTGATGTGAACCAACTCCAGAAATCTTCGGTAAGGCTGTAGTGGCAGATTAACATGTGGTAGAAAAGCAGCTGCAGCGGCATCGTTTACTGCCGGACACGAGAGGATTGCGAGACAGTCGCTCATCAGCTGTCCATTCGAGGAGTTCTGACTCGTGCTTATCATGCTGGCCTAAGGAAAAGCGACCGGACAAAGGTTCAGGAAGAGTGGTTCAAGGGTTCCTTCCCTGTGGTCGCGGCTACCATAAGTTTTGGCATGGGTGTGGATAAATCAAATGTTCGGTGAGGAGACCCAATTCCGTATTTTACTTCTTTTCGTGAATTTGCCTAGTCGATGTATTCTATGTTCTTCAGTTGTGTTGTGCATTGGACGATTCCAAAGAGTCTAGCAGCTTATTACCAGGAATCTGGTAGGGCCGGACGTGATGGTCTTCCCTCATTCTGCCGCATTTACTACGCCAAACAAGAGCGCGATACAGTGGCCTTTCTTATCGGCCAGCAATCTGAGGTGGGCTATTCAAGTACCACAAATTTGTTCCCCAGCGTTTGATTATTACTTGCAGTCTGATAATCTTGTAGAGTGCAACAACCAAAAAGAAGAAGGAATATCGCGAAAAAGGCGTCCAGGATCTAGCCCTTATGATAAACTACGTGGAAAGCGTTCAGAAAGTTTAATCTGCTTTTTTACAAAATCGATTGATTGTTCAATTAGTTAAAGGTTACTTCATTCATAATTCAGGTGTCGCCACAATCAACTTGCGGCATATTTCGGAGATGATCCGCCATCTTGTGTTGACCGATGCGACGTCTGTGCCAACCCCACACAGGTCTCGCAGCAGTTGGCTGGTTATAAACGTCTTATATACGGTTCGTTGCTCAAAGTTTGGCCTACATTTTCTTAAAAATTTGGGTTTAGAGAAGAGTAATCTGATTCATGCTTGCTAGGCAATAGATTTCGACTCTTGTCCTTAACTATTTCGGTGGTTTCAGTGTGTAGCTTCGTGCACCCTTCGAAAGACCACTTTTGAATTTCCATGCTAATTTGGGTCCCAGCCTCTATTTGCGAAAGTTTTGTCTGCTCCTTACGTTTATTCGAAGTCCCATACCTAAAAGTGTCGTAGGACGGCGGTCAACTGTCTGAATTTTATGCTCATTTTAATCGATAAAAACTGGTTCATTTCAAGAATCTATTGTTCTCATTCATACTTACCGACTAGGTAAGCGTCTTTTTATTTCCACAGTCACAAATGAGGGTTATTCCAAAATAGTTAGTTGGACTTGGGGGCTGACCTGTAGATCCGTTTACAACTTAAATTGTAATTGATTTGTTTTTTTTTTGCTTTTAGGTAATCTCGGGGAGCAGAGAGGATTACTTGATGATGGTGCTCTAGACACAAATTTGTATCGTGCGAAGCCTCGACGCAAAGGCGAGGGCTGGGAGGACTATGAGGATAACTCAGAAACAAATCGAAGGGATTCCGATGAAGAGGATCGTCGACAACGCTCCAAATTCATTGCCGAAGAGCTTGCGCGTCGACGCAAAGCGGCACAGTCGAATTGCCCAAAGGTGTGTCTTTAGTGTGTGCTATCACCAGTTCTCTTAAACGCCTGTCTGTGGGTGTTAAATTAGCCATGTCTTGGCATAAACCACATTGTCTTTTGTCAGCAGGCTTTTACTGATTTTGGTTGCGCAACGTTGCCAGAAGCTTACTTAAGTGTCATTTGCAAACAGTATGCTGGGGCAGCCCCCAAACCATAAGATTTTGCGCAATCTCTATTGCCTATCATTGACAATTTATTCAGATTGCTAACCACTAGCTTCCTTCTGGTGCCTCGTGCAGTGGTTCACCCTGAGTCAAGCTGTAACGTCCCACATGTTTAGCTTCTGTTACCACAAGCCCACTTTCTTACCAATTGTGGACTCCATTTTTTAATAAACAACACCGATTCTATTCTTCAACACGGAATGTATCTTTATGTTACCCAGTAAAGCACTAAACCCTGGGTCTAGTTTTTTTCGAACTCGTTCGGCTCAGCAATGGCACCACCTGCGCACCGTGGAGACCTTTATGGCGGTATATTAGGTTTATTGTCTAGTACAGGCCTGCAGGCCTTACTGGGGAGGCTGTATATTCTCAAGTCGCCGTTGGCGTCTAGACGTACTGTGAAGTAGTTTTGTTCTATTCATGCGTCACATCTAATCGTCAACAAGAAACCGCGGATTTGTCCGTTTCAAACTGACTTTCAATTGCTTAATAGAATTCCCAGCATCATTGGCATTTTTGAACTCATTCGATCTAACTTTCCTGAACACACTGCCGCATTGATGTTCTATGTAAATTTTTACCGACTCAGGTTCCTTGGATTTCCGCAGCCTTGGATTCCCCACTTATCGATCCCGAGAGTAAGCTCATCAACGGCTTGACAGGGAAGTCACGTGATCAGACCTTGCAGCTCCTCATTACTGCGGCTTGTGGCCATGTAATCGGTGCTGACAATGCTGGTTCTGACCAGAGCACGGATAAGCTCCGCCTCTGCAATTTGGCTGCGCGACTGGAGCATCAAATCTTCAAAACTGCCAAGGTTAATTCCCTTTTCCTCTCATTGGCTACTTTAAATTTATGAGTAGGCCCGTTTAGATTTCATTCGAGCTGCCTCACCATTGCACAACCCGTGGTGAAGTAGCTGACGCTGAACTCATTTCATCACATTAGTCACCAATGCCGTGTTACCTTGTCACATGGATTTCGTGATCAGTTAATCACGTATGCCATGGAAATGTTTTTGCTAGCTCGTTCTATCCTTTTGTAGAAGCACGTAAATCTGACTCATAAAGTTACCTTGTCTCATCCTCAGTGTTTCACTGCTTGTTTGAGCACTTCTGATCGAAGTGGGATTTCGGATAGTACCTTGAGGAGGGTGTTAAACCAAATCACTTTAATGCAGGTAGCCGGTGTATACCGCGGTCACATGGCGCGCAAAATCGGTCAAACCCGCAAACTGCCCTCCCTGTCCGCTCTGTACGACGCCTTCGCGCAGTGGCTGGGTGCCCCTGTGGCCTCCTTCTTCGGGGACACCAAGACCGCGAGCGATTCGCCCGGTCCGGCAGTCAAAGTGGACGAAGATGCCAAGTCTCCGGTCGTTGAACAGGCGGCGCCATCTCCCACTCCTGTGGCAAAACAGTCCACACCAGAACCGCCGTCTGGTGTGAAACCGGACGATATCATGCAATCCACGTGCTTCCCTCCTTCTCTTAAGAAGGCTCTCCTGGGCGACAAGGTGGAAGAGCCGAACCAGCATCAGCAGCCGACGACGACTTTAAAGGTCAGCCCACGGGTCTCCTTTGTAGTCGGTTAAGTCTTTGACCTGATCTCAGTTCCCTCTATAATGTTGGCATTCGCATTAAATTTCACCGTAAAAAACTTCTGATAGGTGTTTTTATAGTTCCTTGTAAATTAACCGCTACTTCAAGCGCCAAAATAAGCGGTGTCTATCCCTGGGACCATGGAAAACGTTATGGCCGTGGCCCCTATCGCATTGGTAGCATTGTTTAAATTCGTATTTCGGTGCTATTTTCAAATTTAAACAAACTCCGGTTTAAAATTTCTGCATGCACGCAGGATTTTTCGTTTTATTGATCACATATCCCCTCTTACGTGGGCCTCTTTGATGTCGAACAACTTCCCAACTCTTATAGCCTTCTGCTGAGAAAATGACGTATTTTTGGGAGAAGTCAAAGCTTGAAGGAGCCAATCAGAAAAGGCCTTCGACGTTTGACCTTGACGCTGCTCCGCCAAAGCCAAAAGTGCCCAAAGTAGAGGAACCACCTCCTGTGCACTTTCTTCTCGAGCCCACATTGGAAGCACCACAATCGCAGAAAACGACTCCTCCCCATCCCAGGCCTCTTAAGAGAAGTCCTCCCAATCCCGAAAACGCGGTAAGTTGGCCATTTTTATGGGCTTCGCATGTGTCCTATTGATCAACTGTTAATCTTGGCAGGACATAGCAGCCACGGGTAGGGGCTGATCATCTACCGTCTTCAGTGGTAGGTGTCAGCCAATGTCCTCATCGGTGTAAATAACAGCGGCTTAAACACTGACAGACAGACTTGCCAGAATCTACAAAAATCAAAAACAATTCGGAAAGTTACATTACTTGTTGAGATTTCCTTAAACAATAAATGTTAGGACACAGAAAATATTGAACAGTAAATGCGTACCGTTAGTGGCGGATTTGACTAATGTTCCAGCGAAGCCACTCTGGTAAACCAAGGGAAGGTCACAACTAACATGTAAGTGTTACAGCCCGTGTTATCCCCACCAGTGTGATACAATAAGTCCGTTTACACAATGCTTTGCTTGGATGTTTTTGTCAAAGAACTTTTGACTCTCCACCACAATCAAAGTTCGCGACCGCTTCATCGGGGTGTGTTGGAGAGTCGCTGAGACAGGAAGCGTTCGTAGTAGAATTTATCCGTGTTTGGGGTGCCTGTGTTTCTATTAACGCTTTGAGTCGAACCACTTATTTGATCAACACATTTTAATCCATTCCTGTGGCCTAAAAGTGGAGAAAACTGTTGCGGGATGACAAAGCCCTCTGCACACCAAATTCCCCCGATTTGCGAGCACTCGTCAGCCCACGAGTGTTTGTCGTGAGCCGTTAGACGTCTAGTGCTTACCAGCCGATACATTTCTAACAAGTTGGGAGTATGCCTATGCCTTTGCATTTTATCCTCAGCCGCGACCTGCGAACGAAGCCCAAACTCGAACCAAGGGCTGCACCTCTGCTACGCACAGCGCGTCGTTCAACCACGCCTCTCTGTCCGGTACTGAGGTATGATTTTTTTTGTCCAACTGTTTGTTTTTAAAGTTTTTTGAATTACACACGCCTAGATTCATGACGTACCCGGTCATTGTAGTTGTCTTGTTTACTTTCGACTCGTAGGTTTGCGTGGACACGTCTGAACGTTAATATGCTCCCAAAGTGCATATTTAAAGCGATGCTCCCACAAACGCTGAAAGCTCAACTTCTTTTGTACGTAACTTCGAAAAAACCAACCCTATAGTTTAAGCCACAAGTAACCTGATGGATTCGCCAATGTCATATCCCCCTTGAAACTTGACTGCCTAATGGGAAATCTAATAAGTGACTGTAAATTGCAGCACTCGGCTATTCCATGGATTATCCCTGAAGCAATGGCTTCCCTGTTTCAAGGCTTCCATTAGCTCGTAGTTGTGGTTTGGTGAGGTGCACTTTGGAACAATGCAAAGTGGGTGTTGTAGACAAATTAAAGGTCATTTTAGACATTTCCTTCGCCTGATCTGCCGCGATTGAAATAAAGGCAGTACTTGCGTAATGTTTAGCAGTTATCTGCCATGGTCCCATATTACTCACTCAATTACTGGTGCTCATTGCATCTGTGCTTGCTGCTTATTGATCTCTTGTTCATGTATTTTAACGAGGGCTTTTATCGTCACCTACCGCAATTTTGGTTTTAGTACCATTTCCTGTAAGAGGTTTATTTCCGGAAAGTCATCCATTTTCTATGGAATTTGGGCTATAATCTGATATTTGTAAATGTTAGTGCGAGATCTAATGTAGCAAGCTGTCCAAAAGGAGTACAGCATTAAAGCCAGAGTGATACCCGTGGTCTTGATTTTGACATTCTCTCACACGCAGTTTCTTCACGCTTACCTTTGCAGGATCAGCGTTGCGATAGCGGTGGATTCCACCGGGAGAGGAGGAAGAAGGAACACGTGAGTCACTTTTCAGTCAGCACAATCAGAGCGCAGT